ATTGAGCGGTAACAATACGTCAATTCGTTCATTAGTCACATGCGAGACTGTTTTGTTGTGATAAGCGTCTCGCATGTTTCCCCTACATCAGAATAAAAAAAAACACTTACAGCCATACACCAGTGACGCGATGCCGAGGATGATAATGTTGATGATGTGAGCGATCCTCTCCTTTTCATAGTAATCTTGCTTCAGAATGAAGGTAGAGTTCCTGGAGTGGTAGAACTGGTAGTCGCTCAGGTTGTAAGGTGGCTTGTGGTCCGTCGTAAATCCGAACGAACTGCATCGGAAGATAAATTTCAATCAGGAAGGAGAATCCTAGCTCAGCGATGAATTTTACAGAATTTCAAGTTAAAGATTGATAATCATGGGACTAACAGGAAAGTATAACTATTAAAAAAAACAAATTGGTTTAGCTGACTAACATTGAAAAATACACAAAAACCAAGTGCGAGTAGGACTCGCGCAGCGAGGATTCCGTACAAACCTTTTTTTTTAGGTCCGACAAATGAATCCACCCCACCTGATGTTAAGTGACGGTGAAGTCAGACGTGAAGATAGCTGGTACAGCAGTTCTACCTGCCACACCAGCCATCCTCATCCTGCCGTCCTGCATGTTGCTTCTTCATGCCTCTTTTAAGAGGATCCCAGGTTGTAAGAAGGAGGGAACACTTGAGCGGCTAAAGCATTTGTCGCACTATCCGTAAATGGCTAGTGCGACACAGAAATGAGTCACCAAATTTCTTTGTACGCGTTGGAATTGTGGCCACAGTTAGGCGGTGACGACGTAGGCTAGCGCGCGTGGTCCTCTGAAGGAAAGGGGAAGGTGGAATAAAAGAGAATAACTCCTCAGAACACTCGCCGTGGTACAAACGATAGAACGCGCTTAGTGATGCCACGTCACGGCGTAATTGAAGAAACTCGACGTGTTTAGTCACTTCCTCATCGCCTATGATGCGGATCGCACGCCGCTGTAACCTATCCAAAGCATCGAGCAAGTACTTGGCGGAGCCATCCCAGAGGTGCGAGCAATATTCCACGCAAGAGCGTCTTATACAACACGCACATTTGTTCGGACGTGAAAAAACGCCGCACCTTGTTCAGGACTCCAAATTTTGCATAAGGCCGTTTTTACCACGCTTTCAATGTAATTCTTTCGATTCAAGTCATAGCGAATTTCCGTACCAAGCATGGTGATACTGCTCTCCAACTCCAGTGTTTTGCCCTGAAGAGAAGGACATGAAAGGAATGGCGACGTTTGAAAAGTGAAGCGCAGACCTGGGTTTTTCTTAGCATTGAACTCAACTCAATTCCTGGTACCCCATTCAGAAATGTGGTCCAAAGCCTGATTGAGTTCAATGATAGGATTTTCCCGTTTCTCCTTGGTTACCGCCTGCCCAGCCGCTGCTTGTCCGAGATACCCCGCATGCATTGTACTATCGTCTGCATAGCAATGAATATTCCCAAGAGGAATTAAGTCATTGATATGTAGCAGAAAGAGAGTGGGGGATAGGACAGATCTCTGGGGAACGTCGGCATTCACTGACATGAACCGCAAACTGCTGCCCAGTGCTGCCATATCTACCAACTTTTTGGTAGATCTACCAATTTTCACTTCAGTCTACCTATCTACCACCCTAGACCTAAAAACTACCTATTTTTTAATTAGTTTGACATATCACCACTTTGAATTATTTTAATATCGACGAGCGACATTGCGATGTATTGCGTGAGCCATGCAACGATGCGTCAAGCATACATAGAGTCCAGACCATAAACCACAAAAAAAAAGCAACAGTTCGCCATGAGTTCGGCGTTCGCACAATTTCACGCCCATATTTTACTATTCCTACTGTGGCCTGTTCCCGGTTGGTTTGTTGCGGAATCAATGTTGAATCTTTGCTCCTGGTTTATTGTAAAAACTAATTAACTGCATATTAACGGTGCTGATTGCTGTTTGTTCTATGTTGCGAGCATTTATATAAATAATGGATTCTGACAGCAGCGAAAGCGATGCACATAGTTCTAGGTTAGGAACTCCGCCACGAAAACCTAGAAAAAGGCACTATGACCAAAAATATTCGAAATTATGGGAGAAAGACAAAGAATGTGCAGGTTGGCTTTAAGAAATTACTAAGGGTGACGGATATTTTTATTGCAAATCATGTAGGTGTGATCTGAAGTGTTATCTGCATTGCATTACATGCATTTTTAATCTTAAAAAATCTTCTAAATTGAGGTGGTAGATCTACCAATTTTGCATTTTACATTCTACCAACTTCTACCAACATTTGGCACAAAATCTACTAATTTTCTAAAATTCGGGTTGGCAGCACTGCTGCTGCCATCCGTAAGGTCACGAATTCGAGACATCGTGATACCTCCACGCGTTTCTGAGAAAAAGGGTCTTGACGGACGGGCAACAAAGTGATCCTAAACGGATGATTCGCTGTACGGAACCAAAAAAATTAAACAAAATAATTCCGACGAATCGTAACCTCCTCCGATTTTGGAAGTCAGTTACAATTCATATTTGCAATATTACATTAAAACATTTTATTTCGTCGCAAGTATGTTTTATTAAATTGTTAAATGTGTATTTAAACAGAAATTTGGATATGAATGAATGTTATAAATTCTTCTATTTGTACATAGATTATAATTCAAGGGGACGGAATTTTTCTTCGAATTTAATTTTCATTTATGATAAATTATGATTCTGATTTGATGGTGATTTCATTAAAATTCAGGATCTTTTTGCAGTCGCAAATTTATCATCGTTTACCTAATAGAAATGGCCAGGGGATAACCACGTAACTATACTTATTGGCATGAATTCAAGTTTTGACATTTGCAAACCCATATTTATTTATTTTATAAAAAGGTGAAGAAGCTTAACTTTTAGTTATCGGTTAGGAAAAATCTATGTAACATGGATTTTAATGTAAAATTTCACATTGAGCTCTTAGCAATGAAGTTAGTTACGTCATACATAATCTGTGTGAGTTATTACAACATCAAATGCTTAACAAACACCAAAGGCTTAAAACGGTGTAACTTATGAAAATAAAATTTCTACACGTGTCCATGACCAGCCACTGTGAAATTTGCTTCACTTCTACAATCAGGTAACGTTAACAACAAATCCGTCAACGAGTTAGACCCAAGCAATGACGAATGCAGTTATGTGGGTGATATTAACACCGACGCTATGTATCTATGTCATACTATCGCTACTTATGATCGTGATAAGTTATCTATGTACATTCGCCCCTATAGAGACATTCAAAATGGCAGCGTAACTCAAACTAGTCCAACTGTATCGTATTACCTAAAACTATAATTTCCGCACGACTCAAGCGATTTGATTAAGACGGCGGCAATGTCTCGTGAACTATTATACAATTCATAAATTCCTTAGGAAACCTTCAAGAGTTAATCCCAGAAAATTTTCTCGCATGAGACCTATACCCTTAGCACGAACCAATAACTCATAACGTTTGCGAATACGAAATGTCATTTTTAAATAAATATGTATTGATATTTAGTTCTCGTTACGTCCGTTATGGCGCAACTTCAACTAAAACTCAGTACACATTTGACAGTGACATTTCGCACTCGCAAACTATTCGAATTCGATATTGGTTTGTGCTAAGGGTACTATAGCACGAACCATTATCGAATCTGAATCAATGTCAAATTTTGTATTGAAACTTGAACAGCAGCGCCACAAAGTAAGTAACGAGAACTAAAAATCAGTGCACATTTGACAATGACATATCGAGTGTAAAGTGTACTGTACTTAAGTACAATCCCACAGGAAACTTTAGAATATATATTATTATAAATAATTTAGTAAGCAATAAACAATTTAATCCAAAACCGTCATCTTGAGATTGAGTAACACATGCGCGGCTGGCACTTTTTGTAAGTACAAACATAACATAGCGCTGAACCATGCATTTTGTATTCACAGCGACCGTATGTGCGCCCGTCGCGTTTGCTTTATAAAGTTCCTAAACTTGATATAGGACGTAGGCCATGGCACGAGGGCCGAGAATACAAAATGTAGACGCTCTCATAAAGTGCCATACACTTCCTATTCTTATTAATAATAGTAAGGGAGCCCAAACGGGGATTTTTGAATTTACACGGGCGCAGCACAGTAACATAAGGGGAGCAACCTTGCACCTTGTGAAGTACTCCTACCATACCTGAGCCCTCTATGTAGGGCCGAACATCTAGGGCTTTAAAACTTCCATTTGTAAAAACAACACGCGGCCACGACAATTAGCTGCGTCCAAATCGTTAGTCTTTTAAATAGAACTAACTGGAAGGTTCACGTGACGTTTCTGAGGTCGTAAAAAATATTCATCTGCCGATTTGCATGAATGACCATAGGTACAATATAGGAAATAAAAATATTCTAGCGCATCCGACATTGGAAGGGATTTTATGGATGGGATACCTTAATATGGTGCGAGTACTTCACAAGGTGGAAGGCTTCCCCTTATGTTTTTCTGCCGCGCTCGAATAAATCCAAAAATCCCTGCTTGGGCTTCTCTTCTATAATTGTCTATAAAGCATTCATGTCACATGCTGGTGGCTATAATAACACACTAAACTCTCTAAAGGTGACAGCCGTAATCCATAATAGTGCTGAAGGTTTACGCGTTCGATCTGCGATTGTACAAACTAAAAAGTTTTGCAAATGTATTGGCAGATGGGTGATTGAAAATTTATTGTCTCAGGATCTTTTGTGCTTCATAGTTTTAATAGGGTACGTTAAATCGTTGACCCCAGCTGTATCTGCAGTCGTCAGTACCCATTCATCCACAATGGGTCCGACCGGTGGGTTGCGGTCCGTTCTACAGTTACGTACGTAGGAAAGATCTGGGCACAGATTGGGTACATTAAATATAGCCTAATGAAAATTTCTAAACTACGATAAATTATTTGCATACTTGTACATATCGTAGTCGGTGAAGTTTGTGACAAACGTCAGGTTGTTGTCAGGCAGCAGCTTGCTCAGATAGTTCTGCGCGAGGAGCAAGGTCCGCACTTGTACCAGAAGGAGTATGATTGCGACAGCCAGCAGCAGTCCCAGGAGATGTGTCATGTTAGTCTGATTCATCCGGAGGAAGTACCTTTGGTACAACATCTCCACCTATGACAAGTATAAAAATAACCAGTTAAAACATCCAGATACAATTTCATTCAACAACAAACATTCAAATTTGTCGAATAATAATTATTTTATTTCCTACTGAAATATGCATTTTTTTACATCTTTTTTTGTAAAGTAAATGTAATGTAGTTAATAAAATAAAATTTTGATTTCAAATTAAGTATAAAATGCTTATGTATTTTTTTTATTAAACATTTTTAATATATACTACTTGCAAGGATTACATACATTTTGAGAATTTAGAAACTTTGGAATATAATCAAACTTTATAATTAAGGTACATGCCACTAACTTTTTTGCTATATATTATTATGTTTTACGTATGTAACATTAATTAACATAAAATAACATTATTTAAACGGTGATGTTTTTAATTAGATAGCAAACATAAAACATCGTATCTAAAATTCTTTTAGTACCTGTATGCACACAGAGTATTTTTTTTCTTTATCTATTTATCTCGCTTGCTGTGGTTCTCAGCTTACTTTCACTCATCAAAACATCTTCATCTGAAGGTCTCAATAACGAAACTGTACATCGATAATAAAATTTATTCCTTCTTAAATTTTCCGTGTTGTACGGAATTCGTTACATTTGAACGCCAAATAAAAGAAGAATTTGAACGGACTTCTCAAAGGAGCTCTCTCAATATCAGTCGTATCTCGCTGGATTTGCTGACAATGTGATTCCGGGCATAATAGGTAGGTAGGAAAAATTAACGTTATGAAATATCATAATCTGATTGGATCAATAAATTACAAATATATACATTTCGATTTACAATACACGGAAAAGCAAATTTTCTCACCCTACCCGAAATTTTAAGGCTGCTTCATTCATTTGAGTTTTTCTCTGTAAAATATAGAAAATGAACTTTCTACCTAAAGTCAACTGACGCTCTTTGAGTATACCTCAGGTCCTAGTAAGTGTGCGACTATGAGTAAATACAGCGGTTTCGTTTGTTACTATGGAGTTGTTTCTTTATATCTTTTTACCTACTTAGTGGTAGTAGTATTGTGGCAGATACAAATCGCATAGTAGACCAGCCATTCTACTTTGCTCGCAATGCCAGATAATACCATATGATACTGTCTAGCAATGTAAAAGGGCGCGGGTGGTAATCTCTCATGGAATCTAACCGTAATAAGAAATTTATTTTAATTTATAAACAGGATTTCATCATTACATCACCAACATATTCCAGTCGTCATTACCTAGGCCAATGTCTTCTTTAAGGTTGAAATTGCAAGTGAATTATGGTAATATACTGGATTTAATCGCATGAATTGCAGCACCCCGCCGGGGGCGGAACCTTCTTACACCAGACCGCAGTGACATACAACCTCGTAATAACCCTGCCTAAAAAGGAAAGGTACATCAAAGTGTTGTGTTTCTGAAGGTGTTAACGTTCCGAGAATTCACGGGATGGCAGATTGGGTACATGTGACGCGGGATAATTTGTTGTACATGTTTAACAAAAATGGGCAATGAAACTTGCACAATACCTCTTTTCGGATTGGTGAATATTAACGGCGAGGCACGATTGAGCTCAAGATCAATTCATTTTGATCAGCAATTGCAAAAAATGCTAAACAATCAAAATAATATTGGAAACATTGAAAAAGTTTTGTAAAACTTTTAAAACATTATATAATATAGAATTCATTATTTTGAATTGCGTAAGCACGTTTTCTGCTCTCTTTCATAAATAACATGTGAATGGATTTCATCTGAAGGCCCTTATTTTATTTGTTTAATTGATTGAACGCGCTAAGTACGGGAACTACAAGTTTGAATTAAAAAAATGATTTTGTTTTGGATAGTGCATTTTTATCGAGGAAGGCTAGGAAACTAGGTATACAATATCACGCTACGAAAAATAGGAGTAGCATCAATGATAAATGTTGCAAGATTGGGAAAAAAAATCCTTATTAAGAGTTTCCGCTGTGTACGCTATGTAAATTGTTTTTCTTGAAAAGTAGTGAAAACAAGTCCATGACAATCTTTAGTGGTTAACTCAATATAAACTTCTTTCTCAAATTAACGAGAGTGAAACCGTAGGACACAGCTAGTTAAAATGTAAACAAAACTCGTCCGAAGTATGTTGTAAGTAATGCTAACGAACTTCGTCCCAAAAATCGTTTTTGTTTTCGTAGTAGGTCCTCTGAACGGCCGCACTTCGCACAGCCTGGAGAAAAAATCTTCTAACTATTAACTATCATGTTTAAACAAAAAAAAAGTTGTTTGTCCTTAATTTTAGTTGACTACCAAGTAATTTATTTTTTACTCTTCTGAAATGAGTACAAGAAGCAGCACACATTATTTTTCTATACATCACGTAAATGTTACATTTATTTGTGCTGTAGCCATTTCAAGCACCATTTTGTCCCTTGCATGAAATTAATTGTGTCAAAAACACCACAAAGTGCTCGAGCAAACAAAGTCACATTTGTTCAGTTCAGTCTTTCACAAAGGGGCACATGAACAAATTTCAGCTCAGACTATTTGCGCCAGCTTCAATTGTTAACTTTGCTACCAACACACGTTAACGCTTGTTAGCTTAACGGATGCTAGTCGGTAACATAGTCCCAGCTAACTCAAACTTTATTCACTCGTCCACTGCGTGCCTATTAGACGTGAGTCTTTTTGTGTATACGACCCAACGTTCCCTAAACCTGATTTGGAAATAGAACAGTATTAGCTTTACTCAGAAGGCATAGTATTAAGACAGAAAGAACACCACTGACTCAGTGAAATAACACAACTGTGTTTGTTGGTGTTGGGTTTTAGTTCCAAATATCGATTAAAGAAAGAAAGAAAAATAAAAGTGAAATACTGTTTTAACAAAAATAAAATCTGAATTCCTAAAATTTTATTTAAAAATAAAATCATTATTATCAAAAATAAATAGGAACTCAGATCTATCAGACATGCATGGCACCGACTCCAAATATTAATTTGACTAAAGAAAATGTAATATTTCAAAATTTTACAAACGAAAATGTAATATTTCAAAATTTTTAGTAATTTTGTATTTATAAAGTTGATGTTTATGATTGTTAAAAGTGTTGTTTTTAATCCATAGTAACATCATTCATCATCATCATTTACTAGCCGGCAATCTTTCTATGATATTTCGTAAAATAACTAAACACGTTAAGTGTACAGTTTGTAACTAACGAGATCCGTTGTTTATCTACAAAACTACTCATCAGACTTTCACCAAAATTATAGAGGACCATCTCGCTAAGTAACTCGTTCTAACAGAAATGAATCATCAAAATCGGTCCATTAACGAATTGGGAACCTCCTCCTTTTTGAAGCCGGTTAAAAACTTATTATTTAGAATCACTTGGATGTAGGTAAAAAAAACATAAAGTGTAGTTGGTTAAGTACTTTTACAGTAAGAAAGAGTTCCAGAAATCTATGAAATTACCAAACTATTAACACTCCCTTATACGTGACTTTATTAAAATTGTTAGTTGAAATAGTCTCAGCTGGAAGCGCTGTTTCTGGCGTGTTAGTAAAGTTAAATGCTAAAGGTTTTGATTCAGGCACTTATTATGTTGAACACACGTTACAGACATAAGGGTTCATTCATCATTACACTTTTTATATCATGCCCTCGAGTCTTGATGATAGATCCTTATAAGAAAATATTGATTAGTGTGAATGTGACAGCTTATAAATGGATAGGCCAGTTTTAATTACTTTTCGAGTGCAATTCTGCACAAAGAGTGGCAAATAAGCCTATAGTCCGTCTGATGGTATCAAAATCATTTATTCAGTCTAGGCTGTTACAAGCACTTGTGAAACTCGAGAAGTTACGTTATCAGATCGCAAATCTACGGCGAGAGACCTTGTACTGAGAATAACCGGCAAGAAACTCAGCAGGGGCTGTTTTCTTCTTCCTGTATTATTATATACAAAGTCGTCAAGTTGAAAAAGTTACTTTCTATTACATATTTTAGAAAATAGCAATATACGTACAATTAGTTTTATAGTGAGATTTACAGTTTTTCAATAGGTATATAGGAAGCGACTTCAGATACCACATTATTGTTATGAAAAATGTCTAATATCATTACATTACAGGTAACACACTATGCCCAGTCCATGCATTACGATCATTAAAATAATCATCAACCTTATAATGGCCCTTACTCATAAGAGAGGGAGCTCAATCAGATCTTGGGGAACTTTATTAAAAAGTGCAATACTACAACCCACAAATGAACCTCTTGATTTTTGGAGTCTAAAACATGGAACGGCAAGCTTGTTTCTATAGGTCGTGTTAAAGTTATGGGTTTAACTTTTTGGTAAAGAAGGTCATAGTTTTTTTACATCATATTTTTATAAATGTTTTGCAATACTAGAATATAGAAGGTATTCTAGAATATCTTTTTTTGAATTATACTAGTATGCTATAGTCTATGGAGGCTTGTGATACTAGCGAGAGAATCACGCCATTATCTGATGTGACCCTTACCCAATGAGCCCTGGAACCTAGTTTATTCATCCAAGGACCAGACTCATCGACAGAAATTAATCACCATCAAAATGACGTTACTTTCCCAGACGTAGACAGACAAGACAGAAAATAAGTAATGCCGTACTTCTTTTAAAAAGTATTTAAATACTCAACTACATTATTATTTTAATGACTACGTCCAACAGATCCGAAAGTAGGTATTATGAATAAATTATGGGGAGAATTTTCGAAGATGTCACAAATTTCTTTATCAGACGCAATTTTAAAATAATAATTGCAGTACGTAGAAAAAGTTGAGAAATTTTATTAGAAAAAACTGAATTTTTCAAAAATAAAATTTCTCAACTCAAAACAGTGATATATTTTTTGCATTTAAGTAGGCAAAAATGTCACAATTAAGCGTCGTTTTTACCAAATAATCCACATTTTATTTCATTGTTATATCCGTCACTCACTTCATAATATTTTCCCCAACTGTCTGAAAACT